TATGATTGATCCTGCCTGGGGGACTTCATCTCTGTATGATCCTAAAATGAATGAAGCCAACACAGTCTATCTGGACCAGCAACTGAATATGGTTAACGATACCGAAAACGACTGGGGTAGTCCAGTGCACAAATGTACGGTTATTTCCGACGACAATACGATTTCGGTGCAGAACTGTACCGATATGGTAGACAACCAGTACGCAGCAGCTCCGTCCAACTATCCATACTACAGGCCACCACAGGTTCAGCAGAAACCGGTGTACAAAGTGAAACAGACCACGTTACGGCAAAATATTATAGAAGAAGAAGTTGAAGACAGTGATCCCTCGTCCGGGGACGGAGTGCTTATACAGGACTCTGCTGTGCCGTTCGTAGAAGACGAAGATGAATACTATGATTATAGTCAGTAGGTTATGGGTGTTTGTAACCTTTTTTTTTAAATTTAGATTGAATTGTGTTCAGACCACAAAAATGCCGGTAAATACATTTAAACAATAAATCTCGTGTTACGCTGCCACTATGATTGTATGCTTCATTGTGTTTTTAACAGTCCCCTAACATCTTGACAGTCCCCATACATGGTAAAGTGTAGCTGAAAATTCGTGGCTCCTGGATCCATTACACTCAACAAATTCTAATCGTTGTATTTATGTGTGAACTAACCCTGTGCACCGTCGCGCCACGCCGCCGCTGCCGACATTTTTTCAGACGCCGCCGCCGCCGCCACCGACGTTTTTGAGTCCACGCGCCGCCGTGACGGTTTTTGATACGCCAGCATATATGTTTTATACTTTTAAATTTAAGAAGACGTGTTTCTTTCCAACCACTGCATAGAACTATGCAAAAAGGACGAAATTAATTGTATTTTTACTGTTGAAATTTTTTATTCAACTCTTTATTTGTTCCAAATTCAAAATAAATTACATTTCATTTTAACCTAGGTGCTCCAGTTACAACAGTAACTAACCAGCCTTAATTGTTATGATATACAGGGTGTTTGGTTCCGGGTTTTACATATTTTATGGGTAGATAGGGCTCCTAAAGTTATGAAAAAATCCCCATGAAACATAGGGTCGGAAATGACTGCTAAGTGAGTTATTCAACATTTTATGTTTTTTTGTATTGCCAACTTTGGTTAGCTATATTTTTTTAATCTTAATGTGGTTTTCTGATTTCAACATACCAAATGGTTCCACTTCGCTTTTTCCAGGAGGCCATTATCTGCTACCGGAAAACATACAATATTGTTACATGTATTGTATACATGTTGTTATTTAACAAAACTGTGATGACAATTTAGTGCATCAAATCACAATAGTGCTCGAGATTAACTCCCTAGAAAACTCGAAGTGGCAGTGAAAGTGCCTATGATTTGTGAACGCTGAACCATACCACCTTACCTCTCAGAATTGACCGATTCGTGGTCTCTCGTTGTGTTTTCTGCTAGATGGCCGTTTCGATGGTGCAAGTGCACTGTCCTCCAGATCACAATGACCGTTGAACCTATTCTTCAACTGTTCTTCTGGATCACTTTAATGACGGGTACAAGAGCCATTTCAACAACGTTCACGATGGCTGTTACCGACGCCACTTATATTATGCGCACTTTTATTGTCCACAATACGTATAGTACGAGTCACTATTGTCCTCTTCTGGGTCCGATTTTTTCGGGATTCTCCAGTCCAACGGTCCACCGGTCCCGAATCCGGTTCGAAGGATCAAAATGTTTTTACCGGTACCGTGGAGGAGACTCTTAGTTCGGACACTTCAAATATTTGTTCTTGAATAAATGAACACTCGCGTTGCAATATGCGAAAACGAACACTTTATTCGAAACCAAAATTATAATTTATTGACCGACGGAGTTCGATTCAAAACTATTTTATTTGGTGCTATTGGGGGCAAAATTGAGAGCTAACTAACTGTGCCCTGGTATATTGAAATAATACCTAGGGTCAGTGGTGAATATGAAAATCGAGAGAAATACCGATCGTGTACGATCAGTCCTATCCTCATCTAGCCTGCGCCCTAGATAGTGATATGGAAAACTGATAACGATCGCTGTGGGAGAGAACGGGAAACTACTATTTCACTACTGTGGAACATGTCCGGGTTGTCAGGAATGCTGGTTTCTACTAATTCTCAACAGCAATTCCAATGGTAATATTCTGTTTGCTGCTTGTTCTGCAGGTTATTACACTTTTCAATATCCAAACAGCCCAACATGCTTTTCTTCAGCAAGAAATCCCTGAACTATTGATTTGGTCTTAGCTGTTTCATGTCAACTTTGTAGCCAATTGGTTACCCATGCTGACTAAGGTTCTGATCACCTTGCAGTAACTTTTGAAATAACCCAAGAAATAATTTCTAATGGCAACAGCTCTACTTTCACTTCGGACCTCCCTGATTTGCCTCAGGGTTGCCACAAATCTTTGTTCGCTGAGAAGTCTTCGTGTTATTTGCAGCCGACTTCAGAAAAGCTTAGATATTTTCTCTTTTTGATTACAAAATTGAAAGATTTCTCCCATCGCTTTTAAAACTTAACTTAAAATATTTTCACATAAGCCTAGAGATTCCTTTTTGAAACCTAGTAGTAGTCACATAGTCACTTTGAACAGAGTTCCAATTTCCTGGTCAAACCAAGTGAAATATCTTGGATTAGTACTAGACCAAAAATTAACTTTTAAAGATCACATTGAGGGCATTCAAGCCAAATGTAACAAATATATAAAATGTTTGTATCCTCTTATAAACAGGAAATCCAAACTTTGCCTGACGAATAAACTTCTAATATTTAAACAAGTTTTTAGACCGCACTGTTCTGATGATGATTTTGAAGTTGCCTCCCTGGAACAGTACTACCGAGGTACATATAATTTCGAATGTTGAGACTTTAGACCAAATGTCCAACAAAATAATTAATAATTTCAGGCAATAAGCGTTGCAATCTTCAATTGCAGCAATAAATTCCCTTTATATTTAGATGCGATTTAGTTTATGTTTTAAGTTTTAAGATGCCAACTGTTAAAAAACCTGTTTAAAACACTGAATTGCCAAGGCAGGAACAATGTAAAACCACTTAGATATATATCATAACAATTAAGGCTGGTAAGTTACTGTAGTAGCTGGATTTTTTTTTCCTTTGGTTTGTTTTTTCCGTCGATCTTGTTTTCCGTGCTGAGCACCAATGCTACCGACGTGCCAGGAAGGCAGCTCCCACACCTGGACCCTACCTATCGACCCATCAACTCATGAACCGGGGACCAACGGCTTTACTTCCCATCCGAAGGAAGGCGTGATCAGAGATGTTATGCCTCAGAACATCCCGGCGGCGCCGACGGGGATTGAACCCAGGAATACTGGGGTGAGAGGTAATCACGCTTACCACTACACCACCGGCGCCGTTAGTAGCTGGATCACCCAGGTTAAAATGAAATGTAATTGGTATGCATTGTGTGTTGGGAATTTCTTTACAAACATTAACAGAACATAATAAGGTAATAAACTATTAGGAACAACTTTCTACAAGACACCTTTTATCTAAAGTTTCAATTTAAGGCACTAAATGCATCTTTCTAGCTAAATTCCCACTCTGGACCACTTTGCAGTTGCCAGACTTGTGAATAGGAACGATGTTAGCATCCGCCGGAATGCCACCTTAAATATTATTTCATGAAGCGATCGGTTGAATAAGCGAGCATTTGGGTTCGCTATTTCCCTGGAATAGTTTTTCAGCAGCATGGGTAGTATACACCGTCCGTACCATACCCTTTTTTGATGTCATGGTAAACCATAGGTTTTACTACTTCGTCTGCGGTAAACTGAATACCGGATAGTTTGATGTTGTGCGAAAGAATGTAAGCAAAATAGTCGCGTTTTGGTACAGGTGACACTTTGCTAAACGCGCTTTCAAAGCACATGGCAAAAGGTTAGCGGCATCCACATTTGTACACACAAAACCAATTTCTCTTACGTCCGATGTAAGATTGGATACATCCTCGGCAAATGTTTCATACAACAAATGTAATGACAGTTCATTCAATGTACTGCATCGTAGAAGCATGTTTTTCCAGACTGCATAATTCACGAGATGATTATCTAGACGCAATGCATTTGGGGAAACAAACTTTGTTCGAAAAAGAGGCTAACATAAAAACCTCAAAATTATTAAAAAAAAACTTCTGGCGGCCACATTACAGAATCTGTTCATATTTCCCAGTTGGGTGTGGTTATCATAGGTGGATAATAGAACTGTTTTGTACTGCAGTTCTGCTTCGCGAAAGTAATCACGATCGCTCTCAGACTTCGAAAGGAAGAAACGGTGACATGTTTTCCTGATGATGTTACGAAGATGCCGTCCTCCATGGCTTAGTGGAAACTACACCGTGCAAAAATCAGTAATACGTTTGTTCCGTGTCGACAAAATATGTAAAAAAATTCTGATTCTTTATCAAATGCATCGGTATGGAAAGGGAAACGAATTTAGAACTAATCTATAGTATTCAATTATTTCTATTGGAATCCGTTCGGAAAAAGAAGATTAAGCGCGAGATGTTCTTAGCAGGAAGGAAAATAAATCAAAACCCTAAATTGGAGCTTCAGGCCTCGTCTAGAATCTGTTGTAAAATCAAATAGGCGTACGGATGGTTTTAAGCCACAGTAAATTAATCAACGATCATTTTGTATGAACACACTTTAAGTCTGAAACTTATAATAAAGAAACTGAATTCAATTGAAATCAAAAATATTCGAGTTCCCAAATAATCTGACCCTCCCTGTATGTTTCTGAATGTGAATTGAAACGAAGTTTTTCTACGATATTCATGCAACAGCACCTTCTGCGTGACATTGACCAAACGTTTATCGACAAGGCACATACATTCCAAGATAACAATTCGTCAATCTTAAAACACACACGCGAATCTTTAATCTCGATAGCCTGATGATAACGTTGGTAAGGAGAATGCGAGAAATCGACGGAGAGCGTTACTGCTACTGGGTCAGTATGAAATTTTCTGCCGATCCAAAACGACCACAACCAACCTTCCGGAAGCAAAGGTAACTTTTTTCATTTAGTAATAATAAAAAAAAGTCCTTATCGTGAAAGATGCAAAGAGGTTTTCAAGTGAAACGGTCATAACAGGGTTTACACCGAGCTTAACGATTAAGGGCAGATGATGTGAAATTGTTTGGACTGGATAAATTTTAAATTCAATCATTACCATTGTGATATGATTTTGTTTGCATTACAAAACATAAAAAAAAGTGACATCCTCAGCCGGGCCTAAGCAAAAATACCACCAAGCAAAAAACAGATGGCAAACTCAAACTTCAATCTTTCAAACGACAACGCTCATCAGTGATTCTTCAAAATATGGCACAAGATAGCATTGATAAGACCAATTTTGACACTAATGTGTCAGCCTATCCGTCCGTTTGATGAATCATTGAATTTTGGGAACCGTGGCTGATCAATTAAATCACACGGTTAATCACGATTACATTTTTTTCTAGGAAGCTTAGCCTCATATATGTAAAACTGTCCGAAATGATGGTTGGCAAAGGCACAACTAAGAGAGCATACATAAATTATGTAGCATATTTTTGTATAATGTCAAAGCTCCCCCCACTCTCTCGTGGCGTATTTCCCTATACCTAATAATGACTGGACACAACTTTTGCAAACCCTCCCATCTCCCTAATGCGCTACAACATTTATGCATGCTAACTTAGCTAAGATATACTGCCCAACTGTTATCTATATATACAAAAATGAATTTCTGTCGGTCTATCTGACCCTTATAGACTCGGAAACTTCTGAACCGATCAGCGTGAAAATTTGTATGCAGGCGTTTTTGGGGCCGGGAAAAGTTTTTATGATGGTTCGAGACCCCTCCCCTCTCTATAAGGCCCCCCCCGGCTTGCATACAAATGAAACAGAAAAATATAGCATGCTTTTTTGAATCGGCGCATAGACTCAAGCTATTATTGAATCCCGAGCATGACCAGGCACACTCATCTAGTGATTATATAAATACTGAACTTATCGGACATCAATAATTGTAGTTATCGTAAATCTAACTTCCTGACATTAACTGTCCGATCAGTAAAAACTTACCATATTGTATTTCTTTTTCAGATGAAGGAACTTGGTGCGTTTGTCGTTTGCACACTACTAGTGGCTGGTGTGCTAGGAGCTCCTAATCCATGCGAAAACCTTGAGCGACTTCGAGTTTGTAACGAAACACAGTATGAGCTTTATCGTGACTGCGTAGAGGAAGTCAGATTGCTACGTGCGAAAAGACAAATACTATGTCCACTAATGTTCGATACTGTTCAGGAAGATGTAGTGGCACCATCGGTTCAGATAATCCCCGCATTACAAAGTGTGGTGACCGTTAATCCAATAGCATATAATCACATTCCTGACCTCAAACCAATGCTTAAATCTCTAGACCGAAAAGTGCTAGTCCAAACCGATGACGAAGACTATGAGTACAGAGTGCCTACCAATGTGACCACCATAATTCGTCTTACCAATGTAGTGAACAACACCAATATCGTAAATGTGCCAACGAACGTCAATGCTACCAATGTGAACAACATCCACATCTATGCTAACAATACCGATGGTGGTGATGAAGTGAACCAAGTGGACGAGCAAAGATGCTGTACAGCTGTTCAACCAAAATCCTGCCATTCATCCACGCAAGGATTCAAGTGTAAACACAACAAGTTCAGAACATGTGGTCCTCAGTGCACTGCGGATATTGTACATGTTCAGCGACGAAAACGTTGCAACAGTCATGGTAACTGTAAGCAGAAGCTAGCGTACGTCCCTCAGCCACAGAAACCCAAGTGTGTGTACATCGAACAGTGGCCATTCGTGGCTTGCGGGAAGCCGGCTAATATGCAAGTTGTCTGCGACGGATGCTACGACCACTATGGTTATGGTTTCCAAGCATTCAACGGACAACTAGCGATCCAATGCATAGGATGTTACGACGACGCCTTTGACCAAGGTCCGCTGTACCGACGAGGACCGGTTTTAAGGCCATTCTATTACCATGAACCACCGTGCAATATAACCGGACAATGCCCCATGTCCTACGACGACTGTGGTTATGGATGCTACGGACATGATATGATTGATCCTGCCTGGGGAACTTCATCTCTGTATGATCCTAAAATGAATGAAGCCAACACAGTCTATCTGGACCAGCAACTGAATATGGTTAACGATACCGAAAACGACTGGGGTAGTCCAGTGCACAAATGTACGGTTATTTCCGACGACAATACGATTTCGGTGCAGAACTGTACCGATATGGTAGACAACCAGTACGCAGCAGCTCCGTCCAACTATCCATACTACAGGCCACTACAGGATCAGCAGAAACCGGAATACAACGTGAAACAGACCACATTGCGGCAAAAGATTATAGAAGAAAAAGAAGAAGAAGAAGTAGAAGAAGAAGAAGGAGAAGAAGAAGGAGGAGAAGAAGAAGAAGTTGAAGACAGTGATCCCTCGTCCGGGGACGGAGTGCGTATTCAGGACTCTGCTTTGCCGTTCGTAGTAGAAGATGATGACTACTATTATTATAGTCAGTAGATTATGGGTGTTCGTTATGTTAAAAAAAAAACAGATTGAAGTGTGTTCAGACCACAAAAATGCCGGTAAAATACATTTAAGCAATAAATCTCTCTAGTTATGCTGCCACTATGATCCTACACTCAAGTCTTTTTATACACGTTTTTTTACGCGGTTATTTTTACACGATTGGTGCCAATGAGTTTATTACCCACGGTACGTTTGTATCGATTTATATGCATTTGATTCAAAGCACATTATTCGTTTCATGCCATAGGTAATCAAATGGCATACTTGAAAAAAAAAGATCATAACATTTGGTGTAAATACAGATTATTTTTTAAATATGTCAAAATCATGATTGGTTTTTTAACACGGTTTTTTTTTTGCACGTTACATATCCCCCGTGTAAAAAAGGCCTGAGTTTATGCTTTATTGTGTTTTAGCAGTCCCCTAACATCTTGACAGTTCCCATACATGTGAATTGTAGCTGAAAATTCGTGGTTCCTGGATTTAATGGTGTAAATTTTAAAAACGTCGTAGCATGTAAATTTTATTTTATTTTTTAAATAAAACTTTTATCTTTTTTTCATTGAATATTAATGATAATTTTAATATCCGTCATATATTCCCAGGAAACAGCGGTCAAAGGAGTTCCATTTCGAAGCAAACAATAATTTCTTTTTTTTCATTTGATTTGTTTTCCGTCGATCTTGTTTTCGGTGCTGAGCATCAATGCTACCGACGCCAGAGAAGCAGCTCCCACACCTGGACCCTATCTATTGACCCATCAACTCATGAACCGGGGACCAACGGCTTTACTTCCCTTCCGAAGGAAGGCGTGATCAGAGATGTTATGCCTCAGAACTTCCCGGCGGTGCCGACTGCGATTGAATCCAGGCCTGCTGGGGTGAGAGGAAATCACGCTTACCACCACACCACCGGTGCCGCTGTAACAAAAATTACTTCTCGATATTGCCATTACAGAGCGCTTTTTTTTCTGCAAAGTTGATTGAGATAGCAGTAGTCCTTGATCGGATGAATGAAATAACATTACATTTACCAACATTCACTTCCATTCCGTTCAATGAGCAGCATCCAAGAAGAGCGTTGATATCCAATTGGAGGGCACGGCAATCTACGGTGAATGTTTTTACACGGAAAAAAATATGTATGTTTTCCGAAAAATCTTTAAGCTTTAGGAGTTTTGGAATTTATTTATAATTTTTTGAAAGAATAATCAATTTTGTATGATTTGTCATAGTTCAATTAATCATTCTAAATTCCATAAATCAGACTCTTACTAGATATCGTTATGGTAAATTAATTGTATGATTATCTGTGAACTTGGTATTTACATGCTGTGAATTTTGTGAACTAAATTATAAATCAAATGTTAAACATTTAGTCAATATTTTAGAATAAAATAAAACTTATGCCAAATTTCTTCATATTGTTTTCCCCAATAACCCAAAATTTGTCAATACGTGTAACATATACCTATGAATGCTTACAGGGAGTACATCTTAAATCTAAAATTGCGGCCGTTACGAAAAAGTGTTCTTTATAATTCAAATTCACCAATCGTTAGGAAAAAACTAACAAATAATTTTCCGAATTTCCTTTGAAAAAACTTTCGAAAACCTTAAAAAAATGGATAATTTTATCACAGACAAACAGACATAACACTGGCAATTTGCTCATATAATACGCATTTAACGGTAAATTTAAATGTTTTTAGTTGATAGTACCACCATTGTGGCGCGCATAGTCAATAACCCTTGCGTTTGACGTTTACACACTACCGCCATTTGTTCAGCGTATTCTCAACAGATAGCGGTAGTGTTTTAGCAACGATGTTTTATATTTAAATAGTTTGTTTATTTGGAAGGTTCAATCGCGTTAGCTTTACGGAGCCGATAGTTCATTGTTCTTTGTTTGTAACAAAATTCAATTAATTCTATGTCTAGTAGGAGTTGGGCCGAATACTCGCCGAGATTAGAGAGGTACATTGTCGAAGGATAATATCAGGGGAGGAGCTTGGGGTAAGGTTTCGTTGTCTCATCAGAGGAGGTTTTATATTGAAAAATAATTTGTCTGTGATTTAATCTTTGTTTTCATGGAATAAAAGTTTTCCTTAAACCCAGTCATCATAATTGCGTATCACTTAGTTATACCACAAACGAAGTGACAGACGACTTTCTCGGAAGAGATTAATTAAAATAATGTGGTTCTCTGTTACAGAATTTTAGTCCACCTTCCGCCCCTCACCACTAAGTTTTTTTTAAAACTAGTTCGTTTATTTACAAGGCTCAGTCGTGTGTGAAACTTTGCGGAGCCAAAAATCAGTAATGTTTTAATTTACATTTTAAACAGCAGTAGTTCTAGGTTAGTATTGGGTACCAATTATTTGTGGCGGGCTCGAGGTTAATGGGTAACAATTAAGATTGAAAGGAGCTAGGTATGAAACTGGTTTCTGAAGCCTCCTATTGTATGCTCGATATTGTATGACGAGGCTCGGTAGCTCAGTGGTTACCGTTTCTGCTTACTGAGCAGAAGGTCGGGAGTTCAATCCCAGGCCCGTCCCCTTCCTTGCAATTTTTCACTTTGCCTTATTCTATACCCACTAGATTATAATGAAAACAAATTCTTCTTTAACACCGATCGCATCACTTACCACAGTGTGGGTCCTGATCTAAAAATAGAAATTGGATGAGTGCGCGCGCGTGTGTGTGTGTGTGTGTGTGTGTGTGTGTGTGTGTGTGTGTGTGTGTGTGTTTGTGTATTATAATCGCTCTACCAAAAAACGATCCATGCGTGTGCGTGCAACCTTTCCCCACATCCAACATCCCAGTGATTTCTCGTGCAAGCGCAGAGGATTTCTCGGTTTCCTTCACAGCGAGTACCACGTCAACACATTCCTTCCCATTCCATAGTTGACCTGCATTCGGACACGGCCGGCGCTGGTATTGCTAAATATTAGATCTCCAGTTCTTACACATTGAGGATGAATGTTAGTCCCAAACATCATCTGTTGGTTCTCTGTGTAATTGCAGCTGATCTGGTAATAACAGAGCAGCAACCGTGGGCGGTCAATCTGATTTTTTTTTTTTATTGTATGCTCGATATTGTATGCTATTGTATGCTCGATATGTTGATCGTACGCAGAGAAATTTACGTCTACATCCCAAACAGTTCTGGTTTTTTGTTCGTACTAATCGCAAGGAAGATAGATTGCCTACGTCCATGTATTTCGGCGACCGATTTGCTAGCACAGCCTCTAGTAAATGTGAGATCTTTGCTGAACACTTCAAGAATGTCTTCTCAAATACGCCTGCTACACCACCGCAGATAGAGGCTGCTGTTCGTGATACGCCGCTAGACAGCATCGACTTTGGAATTTTCCAGATCAGCGAGGAGCATGTCGAAAATGCATTACGTAAGCTCAAACATTCCGTGTCACCTTGTCCTGATGGGATTCCTTCATCTGTGTTGAAAAACTGCTCGAGTTCTCTGATGACACCGTTAGTAAAACTGTTCAATCTCTCGTTCCAACAGCAAAACTTTCACAAAAGGGTGACAAATGTAACGTTGTCAACTACCGTGGAATAACGTCTTTGAGCGCTTGCTCTAAGGTTTTTGAAATAATTGTAAACAACGCTCTCTTTGAAGCCAACAAAAACTACATTTCATGTGCCCAGCATGGATTCTACCCGAAACGATCTGTTACAACTAACCTCACCCAGTTCACCTCACTCTGCATACGCTATATGGACGCTGGTTCACAAGTGGACGCCGTATACACGGACTTCAAGGCTGCATTCTATCGTGTGAATCATGATATCCTGTTGCAAAAACTCGAGAAGCTGGGGGTATCTTCCGCGCTTGTTAGCTGGTTTAGATCATATCTGTCTGAAAGATCCGTGAGAGTAAAGATTGGTTCGTCACATTCGGAGCCGTTTATGATTCCTTCTGGCGTACCACAAGGGAATTATCTTGGACTGCTGCTTTTCTCATTATTCATAAATGACATTGCCTTTGTGTTGCCACGTGGACAACGAATATTCTATGCCGACGATGTTAAGATCTTTATGATCATCACGTGCACTGAGGATTGCCTGGAGTTGCAGAGGTTATTAGATATGTTCGAGGACTGGAGCAAGCGAAACCTACTCGATTTATGCATAGCCAAATGCAACACAATATCATTCAGCAGGAAGTGGCAACCAATCAATTTCAACTACAGCATGTGTGGACAAACTCTCGAGCGCTTGTATCAGGTTAGGGATCTCGGTGTGATATTGGACCGCGAACTCACTTTCCGACCGCATTACGAAGACGTGATTGCAAAAGCCAATAAACAGTTCGGCTTCATGTTTGAGCTTGCTGATGGATTTCGTGATCCTCTCTGCCTGAAGTCCCTTTTCTGTGCACTGGTTCGATCTATTTTGGAATCTTCCGTGCTGGTATGGTGCCCGTACAACAGAAACTGGATTGACCGTATCGAGGCGGTGCTGAAAAAGTTTGTGCGCCTCGCTCTTCGGCACTTACCCTGGCGTGATTCGTCAAATCTTCCTCCATATGAACATCGTTGTATGCTGTTAGGCATCGATACTCTGGAGAAGCGAAGATCCAATTTGCAAGCCATCTTCGTCGTTAAGGTAATGACCAATGAAATCGATGCCCCAGATATTCTTGCTGAATTGAACGTATATGCGCCGCAAAGACCTTTGAGGCAACGTTATTTCCTGCACCTGGCTACCCGGAACAGCCGTTATTTATTTATTTATTTATTTTGTTTTTTTTCATCGGACTTAACGTGTCTAAATGAAGCCTGATGGGGATTAGCCTAGAAAAGGCGTAAAAACCCCATATCTTTTCGAAATACATGAATCACAATAATACAATACAATACAATTACAACGAACATTAATCAAGTCTATAGCATAAAAAAAGTTATCCTCCTATGGCATAGAGTTGTCCGTGAATCAGGTAGAAGTCCTCGTCATGCAGTTGAACCG